GCTATGCGACTGCAAGTTTAACGATCCGAATGCCAAAGAGATGCACATGAAAGGACGTCGCCATCGCTTGCAATACAAACGCAAGGTGCAGCCAGATTTGGTTGTTGACTTTAAGCCCACACCGCGTCAGCGTCGCCTGGCCGAGGCTCGTGCGCAGCGTGCACTCATGTCCTCGCACCGTGGCGATGATCACGAGGCGGCCAACTACTGGGACGAACAGCGCAATCGTCAATACAATGAAGAGTATGACTACAATAATTGGATGTCACGCAGCTTTGGAGGTAAGGTCTAACTAACATAACATAAATTCCGCATATATAACGAATCATCTTTATCACAGGCGTCCAGCGCTTTGGACGCATTGGCAATGGACCGCCGCCACAATTTGGCGCGATGCCTGGCGGCGTAAACGTGCGTCGTCCGGAAAGCACCGACGATCGCCACGCCATAGCGCGTCATGCCGAAATCTATCCCAAGGAGGAAGAACTCCAGACTATACAGCGCATTGTGTCTCATACGGAGCGTGCACTTAAACTCGTCTCGGATACATTGGCTGAGATGCCAACTCCTGCTGCTGCAGTCAGTGAGAGTGGACCCGCCGCCAAGAAGGAGAAGGCTGATAAGCCCTCGGAAAAGGATGGGCGCGATAACCAGATATTCTCATTCCACAAGGACGCCGACAATGGCGGCAATGTGGTACGCAGCTTGAAGGGCGTCATGCGTGTTGGCTACCTGGCCAAGGGTCTCTTGCTCCACGGCGACACAGCTGTCGAGCTAGTCGTCCTCTGTGCGGAAAAGCCAACGACAAGTCTGCTGCAGCGTGTGGCCAATGTACTGCCCGACAAGCTCAAGGAGGTGGCAGGTAAGTTGCAGAGCATTCGGCGACATTATACCACATACATATACATGCATAAATATATCCCTTGATATATATACACATCTATATATATTTTGGTGTCCATTGTGAATATTGATTGCACTGCCTGTAAACAAGAGGCAATAACTTTTTCCAGAGAAATGGCTATAAACAGAAGAAGCAGCTATCTGAATTCCTCTAGTCGGGAAACTAAATTTACCATGGATATGTCTTAGGCTCTGCACACACGCTCACACTGTACATAACTGATTGACTATTAGATGTGTTTCACAAACCAAATAGGTCCGATCGATGGATAGAAATATACAACAATAAAACATGGTTATTCTTCGGTTTGGAAGAATCCATATACAAATCGACTTATTGCAGCTGTGGAATATAGTATATATCTCTACTTACCTAATGTCTTCAAAGAATCGATAAAGTAGTTCGAGTTGTTCTAGGGAAGATGAAAATCTTTATTGGACATTTAGTAGAAATATATGTGCATTAGGGAAAAACCTTAAGCTTTTTATCTCCAAATTTATGAAAGTTCAGACAATGAATTATGTCTTTATTTTAGATGAGGGAAACTAAATTTATTTATTCCCTTAAAAAAGTGTGTGGGGGATTAGGAAGAGACGACACCATGAAATATGATATATGAAAGTAGAGTAAATATTAGAGCAATTAATAATTTAAAATATTTCTTTTATATTTCGTATATCCTATTTCCATATACTGTTTTTCGCAGCTTCGTGTAGGCTAAATACATTTTGCAGCTCACATAAGTAATGAAATTACACTGCAACACAAATATATTTTTTGCCTTAAACATTTGAATATATAAGACTTTTTTGAAAGAAAAAATTGTGTACATAATGGTATCAAATATTATTATTCGATAATCAATAGAATTTCTTGATGTGATTCCAAGACATATCCATGTCGAATAAAGCAACGCGACAAATTGCAAAAATCAAAAGCAGCAAATCCAAAACTTTCATTTTGCCTGGCCAATTTCACAGAATGTGAATTTCGCCGAGAGAGTAAATACATTTTCGGAGCGCAATGATGCTAGAAAAGCAATCCAAATATACAAATTATAATTGCGAATGCACATAATGTGATATCTAATATAAAATTCAGTCCGTTTGCGATGCGCAATTTGTGTGGAAAAAGTGAAATTATTAATGTATATACATACTCTACTGCTACTAGTACTACTGTTGAGCCCTGTTGTTGTTGTTGCCGTGGTGGATTTGAAATTTTGTTGACGACCGAAACCAACAACGAACAGAAACAACGAACAACAGCAGCCTAATAAAAGCCAAACTAGCAAGCCATACAAAATAAAAACGTATTTGCCGTTTTCAGCTTCTCTCTCTGCAGGATAAGATTTGAGCCCTTAGCCTTGAGATGCTATCCACTCACACTACTCACACTCAGGTGTCTGTTAGCCGTCTATAGCTTTCCAAGCTGCTGCTGCTGCTACTCCTACTGCTACTGCTACTGCTGGTGGTGGAAATCGAATCAACGGATATCTCGTAAATCGTAATGGTAACACAAGCAGTACTCTGCTGGACTCTCTACACGCTGGCGGAAGCTAAAGCTAAGCGGCTGCGGCAGAGTTCATATGTGTGGAACAATGAAACTTTAACCAACTTGATACAAACAATTGAACCAAAGGAATATATTTATACAAAGTTTGGGTGCTCGCTCTGTTGTGCTCTGTTGTTGTTCTACTGTACTAGCCATACACACGCACACACACACACAAACACACATTATAGAGTCAATCATCAACAGCACAGAAATCCACTCTTTTTCCCCGTTTCCACTTCCAATGCGAAGAAACTTTGTGTAAATAAAGTCCTTTGATATATTATTTTAAGCTCAAAGCAGCTTTAAATATAAATATATATGTATATACAGCCGATCTGCTGAAGCAATGCGATTGATCCACACAGACAGACGCATAGAAGGCGCTTTGATGATGGTACAGACACATGGAATATATAGTATATGTGTGTGTTATCCTATATACATATATCTATATAATATTTATCAGCCAAAATTGTTGCGCCCCTGTAAAATGGGCATCTCCACTTACCTCAATAGAGTATATCGATCGATGCCTATTCAAGCATCCGTTTTGTGTGTATCAAACTTGATTGTGTATAACTATGTGAAAAATAAGCTAACGAAAAATTGCGACCGAAATTTGTGTTGCGAACGGTGAATGCTGACCTGACCGATGACTTATTAGTGACCTGAGCGTGGCTAGTCATTCAATCAATCCGCAAATAAACGAAAAATTTCGGTCAATGTTTTTACATTTTTTTTTGTTTGTTTTTTTTTTTTTTTGGCAATAAAACTAACCAAACAGCCAGCCACGCGCTCTAAGTGGAATTGCAATTCCATTTCAATTTTCGACTCTTTTTGCAATTCCGTTTACGAGGCCGAGATGTGGAGGTGGCTGCCCCGTTGGCTGCCCGGTCCGATCCCAGCACGCAAGTCATAGAACACGTTAAATACTTGTAATATATATATATATATATAAATATATATTGGTGATATGTATGTTTGCTGGGAACAGAGCGGAGTTTGTTATCCGTGGAACGTAGGAAGAAACAAACATTTACATTTTGCTTTTGAGATTATCAGATGTGCACCTTCATGTCTTATATATATATTTATAGTTTGTGGGCCCACACATGGAATTATCTATCTATCATCTACTCAACAATGTTTGTCTCTTTTCTAAGCCGATCTTTTCGCGTAGTTACAACTTGTTAATGCTTCTTTGTTTTGTTGTCCAGTACCGATCGAAACTAACACATGGCTAAACACTTTCCGTTCCAGGTGACTTACAGGTCAACTATCGCGTTGAGGTGAATGCCGATGAGGCTGCTGTTATAGTTCTCGATGAAGTGGTCGCAGTTAAGATAACACTCACATCACCGTTGCTTCGCGAATCCTGCGATGGTGTCGTGAAGACCGATGATGCTGCATCGGCTTCGACAGCTGCCGAAACAGACTTTTTACCGCGCGAACCGTGTCTGCGGGTACGTAATCCATTCCTATACAATGATCGTAATGCTTAATAACAATCAAAAGCATTTTAATCATAATAACCTTATGTCACCAGCATTTATATATATATTGCTTCTTTTGCAGGCACTCGCCGATCTGCGTCACGCCAAATGGTTCCAGGCACGTGCAACCGGATTGCAATCGTGCGTGATGGTTATTCGCATATTACGTGATCTTTGCCAGCGCGTATCTTCGTGGCAGTCGCTGCCACAGTGGTCGTTGGAGTTGCTCGTGGAGAAAGTTCTTTCATCGGCTGGCTTCCCCATCTCACCCGGCGACTGTTTGCGTCGCATTATGGAGGCTTTGTCTTCGGGCTTTTTGATCAATGGGCCTGGCCTGCTGGATCCGTGTGAGAAGGATCCAACCGATGCTCTGCAGCAACTCACCAAGCAGGAGCGCGAAGATCTCACTGTCTCGTCACAGTTATTCCTGCGTTTCATTGCTTTCCGTCAAATGTTTAAAGTTCTTGGCATGGATCAGCTGCCGGCCATGAAGTTTCCGCTGCGCCCGTGGCGCATCAATCGCAAACGACGTCGCTCATCAGGCAAGGCTGGAGCGCACGGCGCCGACGCGGATCACGCCGACATCGAAGAGACCGGTTCCGACGAGAAGGTGGCCAAGAAGGATGTAACCCCAACTGCTCCCGCTACGGCATAAGTGCTAAGCAAATTCATCAATAGGAATATGTAGCCGCAACAAATATGAATAACAGTTTTTTTCTCAATCTAATTGCGTTACAAAATACGATCAATAACTATAACACTTTCCATTCACACTTATTAAATTTGGGCACTCATTAATTGTTGTGTCCAACATATTGCCCAATTTGAAAGCAACAGCATTAAATAGGATCCCTCAACTAACAATATTTAACAAAATAATTAAAGGCATTTTTCTATACTATGTAGAAATTAATGCAAAATGTATTCGATTAGCCGTGGAGGCGTTGATCCTCTATAAACATAAACTATATATACTCAACTGCCTCCACCACGCGTTTCAGATATTAAAAAAGCAAAAACAAATTTTAATAAAAATACCTATACAATTTAAACGAACGTTCCTTTTTATTTAAGCCAACTACAGAAAGTTTTGCCATTTTGAGGATGCCTTTTGATTAGCTACGAATTCATTTTGAGCCGTGCGCTTTCTGGAATTACATTGCTTTTTGGGTAATGAACTATTACCTGGCTCATCAAAGTCTTTTTCTTGGGCATGTATCCGATCCGATCCAATCCGATTCTGGGCAATGGGTTCATCAACATAATCTGACCATTTGCTTGGACCCTTAATGCAATGAGATGGCGGCAGCTGCGCAGCCGAAGAACTGTCGCACTCCACATTTTGAAGCGCCTCCAATATTTTACGCTCTTCCTGTGCTTGTTGCTTTTGACCATGCTCCAGGTTAAGGTGTTGCACCTTTGCACGGCATTCAGCACCGGAACCGCGAAAGAATTCCTTGTGTACCATCTGTTTTAAGCGGCAAACTTTACACTCCCATTTGTTTGTCTTCTTGACAATGTCCACCTACGTATTCGTGCATTAGGAATATTTAATAGTATTAAAATTTTTTTCGAATCGAACCTGATATAAACTGCACTCCACACATTGTAAAACGCGTATTTGTTGAGACATACTTTAGTATCCGAAACTTTATGGCTTGTGTTGTATTTTAAATGAACGCCGCCATATGAGCAGGGTCAGCGTTGCCATATTACATTATTTATTTTTGGTAAAGCAGCTGTTTTAGCGGTCGCTCTGTTATATGTCTTACAATGGATTAACAGCTGTAGAGATCATTTTTCACCGGTTTCTTTATAAACTAGTGACCGATTAAAATAACAGTTATTAACGCCCTTTTAGAGTAATTTAATTAACTACTACAAATATTTCATTGTAGTAAGCTGATAAGCAAACTATGGCAGTTTTTGCACAATTAGCGCGCTGTACTAGCCCTCGCTGTTATTAGCATATCTGTCAAATGTTAAGTTATTGAAAGCCATCTGCTATTCTAACAGTCATCGTACTGCATTGCGTCGTCACGGCGGCTAGTGCTTTATCGGGATGAGATTGGTAAGAACCTAAAATAACAAGTGTTTATCAACGGAAATGACAATGTTAATTAATCTTAATTATACCTTTGTAGTACTGTCTTAGCGGTGACTTGGCAAAACCATGCTACATCATCACATTCAAGGGACTCCGCATAATGCTGGACTGCGGCTTGACGGAGCAAACGGTTTTAAACTTCCTGCCATTACCCTTCGTCCAAAGCCTGAAGCTTTCTAATCTGCCGAACTTTGTGCCCAGCAGCGACCATGATCCTCAAATGGATGGTGAACTCAAGGAGTGCTGCGGCCGGGTGTTTGTGGACTCGGTGCCGGAGTTCAATTTGCCAATGGATAAAATGCTCGATTTTAGTGAACTAGATGTTATACTTATCTCAAATTATCTTAATATGTTGGCCCTGCCGTACATTACGGAGAACACAGGCTTTAAAGGCAAGGTCTATGCAACGGAGCCAACGCTACAAATTGGGCGATTTTTTCTCGAGGAGCTGGTGGATTACATTGAAGTGTCGCCCAAGGCGTGTACGGCACGTCTGTGGAAGGAGAAGCTGCATTTGCTGCCCAGCCCATTGAACGAAGCCTTTCGTGCTAAGAAGTGGCGCACCATTTTCAGTCTAAAGGATGTCCAGGGAAGTCTGTCCAAAGTGACCATCATGGGCTATGACGAGAAATTGGATATACTGGGCGCCTTTATAGCAACTCCCGTCAGTTCTGGCTACTGTCTGGGCTCCAGTAATTGGGTGCTGAGCACTGCGCATGAGAAGATTTGCTACGTGAGCGGCTCCTCAACACTAACGACGCACCCGCGTCCCATCAATCAGTCGGCACTCAAGCATGCCGATGTGCTAATTATGACCGGTTTGACGCAGGCGCCAACAGTTAATCCAGACACAAAGCTGGGCGAACTGTGCATGAACGTGGCACTGACGATACGTAACAACGGCTCAGCTCTAATACCATGTTACCCATCGGGCGTGGTCTACGACTTGTTTGAGTGCCTAACGCAAAATCTAGAAAATGCCGGTCTCAACAATGTGCCCATGTTCTTCATATCGCCAGTGGCGGACAGTTCGCTGGCATACTCCAACATTTTGGCCGAATGGCTGAGCTCGGCCAAGCAGAACAAAGTCTATCTGCCCGATGACCCCTTTCCGCACGCCTTCTACCTGCGAAATTCCAAGCTGAAGCACTATAACCATGTGTTCTCCGAGGGCTTTAGCAAGGACTTCAGACAGGTGAGATTACCGCAAATCCAAATTTGACTGCTTAAAGTATCTTTTCCTATTTTCTTGGGTCAGCCCTGTGTTGTGTTTTGCGGTCATCCTAGCCTGCGTTTCGGCGATGCTGTGCATTTCATTGAAATGTGGGGTAATAATCCAAACAACTCGATTATATTTACGGAACCAGATTTTCCATACCTGCAAGTATTGGCGCCATTCCAGCCGCTGGCTATGAAGGCCTTTTACTGTCCCATCGATACCTCACTGAACTACCAGCAGGCCAACAAGCTAATCAAGGAGCTAAAGCCCAATGTGCTGGTTATACCGGAAGCATACACTAAGCCCCATCCCGCGGCGGCCAATCTGTTTATTGAACAGCCGGACAAGAAAATCATTACCTTCAAATGCGGAGAGATCATCAGGTTGCCACTAAAACGCAAGCTGGATCGCATTTACATCGCCTCCGAACTCGCACAAAAGATAATGGCACGTGAAGTAGTGGCTGGTGTCTCGCTATCCACACTCACGGGTGTGTTGCAGGTGAAAGACAAGGTGCACTGCATCCAGCCGTGTGCAGACAGCATTAAAGATGAGCCCAGCACAAGCAGCGGCGTCCTGAGCGCTGCGCCCTCCAAAGAGGATGTGCTTAAGAATGTCAAATATGAGTATGGCAGCATCGATGTGGATGCGCTGATGAAGCGTTTGGCTCAGGATGGTTTCTCCAACATCAAAATGGATCGCAGCGGCGGCAACCTGACGCTGCAGCTGATCAATGAAGACACCACGATCAAGTTCGAGGATAATGAAACTCACATTATATGTGGCGGCAAGCCAACGACGCGCCTCAAACTACGCGATACGGTGCTCAAGTGCTTACAGAGTTTCTAAAAATCTTAATCTATAAAATGTATTACCTTTTACGCAACCGACCTATATAAACAACAACATTATAAGCCTATTTCTTGTCAGACAGAATACCCGAACATCGCTTGCAGATCTCCTGCTCGGGCTCGACGACGCTAAAGCGCCGACAGCGTGGACAAAGCGGCGCGCTGAGCGTCTGTAGCGTAACCATAGCTGTATCCGTTGCAGCGTCCAACGGAGTCTGCACCGTGGCACTGCCTACTTGCAGAATCTCACAGAGCTCCGAGTTCGCAATGGGCACATTCAACTGGCCATGTAATGCAGAAAGCATTTCCAGTTGTTGCGGTGAACCACATTTGATGTGCACTGCGAGATGCCAGCTGTTGACATCGCCTGCCTGTTGGTTCACAAGGCGCTTAATATCCAATGCTGCATTTACTATCTGGCTGGCCTGCACATTTTCCCAATCCCTGTCAGCTTGCACTGTTTCCTCGTAAAAGGCGCTGCCAGTTGGCTCGTAGTAGCTCCAGCTTTCCTCGATAAGATACGGCGTTATGGGCCACAGTGCCTTGCAAAGCTGTCTATAACAGTGGCTCAGTGTGTAGCGAATGGCTTGCAGCTCCTGGTTGTTGCCACAGTATAGTCGATCCTTGATCAAATGCACATAAATGCCTGACACCTGGTTGGCAATAAAATTCTGAATACTGGCCACAACTCGATTATACTCATAGGCATCATAAAGCTTCTGGATCTGTGGCATTTAAACTAATAAATAAATATTTGCTCTTGTGTCTGCTCCATTGCTGACTTACCTCCTGCTCAAAGCCCAACAAGTTGTGTAACAGATACTTGTTCAAATAGCTATCATTCAGCGTGGGACCAGGCAGCTTGTGCTCCTTCTGATTGATGACTCCGTTCAGGTAGCGCAGTGTACCGCGCACTTTGCTAAGATTCTCGGCCGACTGCTGCAGCAGCTTATCGCTGACCGTGATGGACATGTGTTGGGTGCCGTGGAAGGCTACCCACCAACGCAGCACATCTGTGCCATATTTCTTGGTTATCTGCTTGGGCGAGATGACATTGCCCAGTGACTTGGACATTTTATGGCCCTTTTCGTCCACCGTAAAGCCATGCACAAAGAGCGCCCTGCAAAAGAAAGAGTTAGTTGCATATCTAAGATAGTTTGCGATTAAAAATAAAACTCACTTATAGGGCGCACAGTTGCGTGCCGCTATGCTCATCAAGAGCGAGGACTGAAACCAGCCGGTGAACTGATCGTAGCCTTCTAGATAAAGATCAGCCACTTGTTGGGATTGCTCCTTTAGCACCGCGGACCAAGTACTGCCTGAATCGAACCATATGTCAAATATATCGTTGCCCTTGATCAGCTGATTCGCCTCACAGCCCAGTTGCTTTAAGAGATCAGCGGGCAGCAGCTCTTCTAGCGGTGTGGACCACCAAAAGTCCATGGAGCCCTCGGTGCGCAACAAACCGCACAGATGCTCAATTAAAGCAGCATTTAGCACCACCTGATTGCTGTCTCGTTTGTACAGCACGGGTATGGGCACGCCCCAAGCACGCTGTCTGGATATGCACCAATAGGGCCGCTTGTGCAGCTGAGTCAACAGCGCTTTTTTACTAGACTCGGCATTAGCGCGCGGATAGATATCCACCTGTTCCAAGGCAGCAGCTGCCGGCGCCTTTAGTTTATCCGTATTTATGAACCACTGCTCGCTGGCCCGAATTATAACCGGTTGCTTGGTACGCCAGTCAATCGGATAGGAATGCTCAAACTGCGAGGCATGCACAACGTCCTCGGCTATGTGTTGCAGCACCAGGGGATTGCCCTGCGCCAGCACCGACTGACCGCGCAGAAATGCAGGCGCCTCTTCAGTATAAATGCCCGACTCGTTGACGTAGCACTTGACAGGCAACTTCTGGGCCAAGCTAATCAGAAAGTCGTCGGGCCCGTGCGCAGGTGCCGTGTGCACCAGGCCCGTGCCCTTGTTGTCTTGCACATGAGTAGCGTCAAAAAATGGCAGCTTCGTTTGGGTCTTGTCAATGGGATGTTGATAGCTGCAATCACTTAAGGCGCTGCCAGCCAAACGTTCCACAATCGCACACTGAAGCTGCGTGCTGGCCTCAAAGTCTGCAATTAGTGCTGTGGCCATTAAATAAAGCTCATTTGGCCCGCGGTCCGACAGCCTGACCAGCACATAATCCAACGCGCTATTGTAACAAATTGCCTGATTACTGGGCAGGGTCCAAGGCGTTGTGGTCCAGACTAGCGCATAGATTCGTTTGCCCTGCGCCGCTTCAAGCGCCGACAAACCGTTCAACGCACAGCGCAAGTAAACCGAGGGGCTAATGAAGTTAGCATCATACTCTAGTTCCGCCTCCGCCAGCGCTGTTCTATTAAAAAGAACAGAGAACATAAGAACCAACCCTTTTTGAGTGGTGGCAGTGTAGCTTACTTTGAGGAGGGTGACCAATAGACGGGCTTCAGATCTCGATATACATAACCGCGCTCGTAGAGATTATAAAACATGTGCAGCTGGTTTGAAATGAACTCGGGCCTAAAGGTCAAATAGATGTCTGCTGGCTGCCAGTTGGCCAGTATGCCCCAGCTGCGAAATTCCGCCTTTTGCGACTCGATTGCCTCCAAGGCAAAGGCGCGAGCTGCAATGACAAGAAGTTACACAAGTTTTCAACCTGTTAACAGATCCACTCACATTTCTGACGTATGTGCAACGCATTCTGGTCGCCAGCAGCTGAGCTTGTTGCCTTTAGCTCAATGGGCAATCCGTGGCAATCCCAGCCGGGTATGTAGTTAACCTGCTGGCCGTAAGCCACACGTTGACGCAACGTAATATCCTTGAGTATCTTGTTGACGGCGTGGCCCATGTGCAGCTGCCCATTGGCATAGGGCGGCCCATCGTGCAGCACAAAGATTGGCTTACGCTTATGCTGCTCCTGGTACTTGTAGGCGGGGGCAATCTTATGCTGCAAAAGATCAGTTTGAACATGTGTGTGAAGATTTCGTGATATAAAAACTCACGTCGAGAATTTGTCGTTCCTGCTCCTCACGTTTGGCCGCACTCAAGCGATTCGGAAAACGCGTTCTGGGCAGGTTTATTGTGTCTGTATATTTATTTGCATCTTTTTTGGCTGGTTTCACAGAATATAGGCGTGTGCCAAGACGAAAATGAAAGGCACGCAACATTTTGCACGTAACCCAAACAATTTAGCCGGTACGAAACTAAGTCAGCTGTTCGAACAGCTTAGTCCGAATAAAATCAGCTGTTCGAACAGCTCAGTCCGAATAAAATCAGCTGTTCGAACGTCCGAATAATTCGGTCTGTACTAACAATAAAAGATAGCGCGCAACATGAAATTTAAAATTTGAATCAATAAGCATGTGGAATTAATTAATAGTATTATTTATGTTATTTTTGGTGTTTTTATATTTAATATATTTATTGTTAATTGCAAAATAATAAATGTCTCAAGTTTTTAAACATTATACAAATAACTCTTCTGTATACTTGTTATATGTGATGGGTATTTCTATTATATTTGTAAATTCATAATAATAAAGGCTAACACAAAATTTACTTTTTCTTGTCTTTTGGTTCATCCTTCTTGTCTTTTGGTTCATCCTTCCTGTCTTTTGACTTATCCTTCTTGTCTTTTGATTCATCCTTTTTGACCTTAGCTTCTGATTTTGGTTGCTCATTTTTGGGCTTGTCCTTGTCAGCTTTTCCCTTTTCCGGCTTCTTTTCCTTGGAATCTTTAGCTTCTCCCTTAGCTTCTCCCTTAGCTTCTCCTTTAGCTTCTCCTTTAGCGTCTGCCTTAGCATCGGCTTTAGGTTGCTTGTCGTCAGGCTTACCTTTTTCCTCACCCTTCTTTCCTTTGTCATCTTTGCCTTGCGGCTTGGCAGATCCATCGGGACCCATGGTAGCTGCCAATTGATTTGCCTTGGCCAACACCTCGTCTATATCGCCGACCATATAGAATGCAATTTCCGGTATGTCATCGTATTCCCCGTTTAGCAAACGCTTAAAACCATCCACCGATTTCTCTACGGGCACCGACTTGCCCGGAGTACCAGTAAATACCTCGGCCACTTGGAACGGCTGAGAGAGAAAACGTTGCATTTTACGTGCCCGTGCCACAGTTAGTTTGTCCTCCTCAGAGAGTTCGTCCATGCCCAGAATAGCGATGATATCCTGCAGGGACTTGTAGCCCTGCAATGTCTTCTGCACGGCTCGGGCGACATTATAGTGCTCTTCACCCACAATATCGGGATCGAGAACTCGAGACGAAGAATCAAGCGGATCCACAGCCGGATAAATGCCCAATTCAGCAATTGGACGCGATAATACAGTAGTTGCATCCAAGTGAGAGAACGTAGCGGCCGGCGCCGGATCACTTAAATCATCGGCAGGCACATAGACCGCCTGAACGGATGTAATCGAGCCGTTTTTGGTGCTGGTAATACGCTCCTGCATCATGCCCATGTCGGTGGCGAGCGTTGGCTGGTACCCAACGGCGGAGGGTATTCGACCCAGTAGCGCAGACACCTCGGAGCCGGCCTGGGTGAACCGAAAGATATTGTCTATAAAAAGCAATACGTCCTGTCCATCGATGTCCCGAAAGTACTCGGCAATGGTCAGACCAGTCAAAACCACACGACTGCGCGCTCCCGGCGGCTCGTTCATCTGACCATAGACGAGAGACACTTTTGACGTATCATCCTCAAGAGAAATCACCTTGGTCTCGATCATTTCGTGATACAGATCGTTACCCTCGCGTGTGCGCTCCCCGGCGCCAACAAACACCGAGTAGCCGCCGTGCGATTGGGCAATATTACTGATTAGCTCCATAATTAGCACAGTTTTGCCAACGCCAGCGCCACCGAAGAGACCAATTTTTCCGCCCTTTACATACGGTGCCAAGAGATCGATTACCTTGATGCCTGTCGACAATATCTCCGGTTTAACATTCAATTCAACCAATTCCGGAGCATCATTATGTATGAACGAGTAAAACTCGCTCTTGATCTCGCCGCGCTCGTCTATCGGATCACCCACCACGTTCACAATGCGACCCAATACCATTTTTCCGACGGGCACTCGAATGGGGAATCCGGTATCGATAACTTTCTGGCCACGCCTAAGCCCTTCTGTGGCATCCATAGCGACGCAGCGGACCACATTATTGCCCAGATGATGAAAGACCTAAATTGCTTTGTAAGTGAAAAAATAACGAGTGTATTGAATGAACAGGTTACCTCTAATACCAGACGACCGATTGGCGCATCTTGTACCTCCATGGCATTCAGCACTTCGGGGACATCGTCCGGAAAGTAAACATCAATGACAGGTCCAATCACGGCATGGATAGTGCCCTCGCGGCGTTTTCCAAGCAACTGGCCCACAGCTGTTCCAGACCCTTCTGCGCCCGGCTTGCCTTTACCACCGCCCTCCTCTTCACAAGAATCGTCTTTTCCTCCACCGCCTAAAAGTTCGTTGACAAATTACTTACAAAGCGCCTATTACAGATATTTTTGGCACTTACCGCTTACTTTTTCAGCAACTGCTTCCTTCTCCTTATCATCGTCGGGGCACAAGGGCTTAAAGAAGGACTCATCGGTCTTGCATTTCTCGTCGTCATCCTTGGCGAGCCTGAGCCCGGTATGAAGTGTGCGCGTCTGTAATGAGAGTTTCACGTTTGCCGGCTGCCCTTGCGGGCTCAAACCTCCTTGCTGACTTGTCTTAAATCCAATTCTGGCACATGCTTTAAATAATTAACCCAGCTCAGTAAACTTTACAGCTCACAAGTGCCAAATTCCTACGCTTACCCGTGGCCAATCTTGCCCAAATCAACATATTGAATATCTTTTGCCTTTATACTTGAAAAAAAAAAGTAAACTTTTACCAAAGTCTTTTACGAATCTAATTATTCTTTCTTAATGTATTTTCAATTAATTTGTGTTTAATTTCGCATTTACTTTTTAATTGCACTTGAGTCAACCACGTTTGCAAATGAAAGTTTGTTTTTTATGAGAATTTTTCAATCTTATGCTCAGTCAAGGCCTTCTATTCCTTTTGCCGTTAAAAAAAATGTAACTAAATCGAATTAAGTATTGAAAATACGATAAGAACATTAATCGATCTATTTTAATTTGTTATCGATGAAATAGAACTAAATCGAATTAAGTATTGAAAATACGATAAATATATATTTATCGATAACTTTTAACCAGTTCAGCTTAAAACGAAACTTTTAACGAGTAGAGATTAATTGTAGCCCGCAACTTCTATTTGAAAATATCTACGACTTGTGATATTTTCAGTAGAGCGGGCAAAGTAATCTTTAAAAAGGAATTGTTTCATTAAGATTTAGTAAATATATCAAAAGCCAAGGCTTGCAACAAAATCTGGATATAAGGCTGCGGAAAACTCGGCTCACGGACTGAGGCAGAAATTTGGTTCGTAAACTGAGCCATCGACTATACTATAAGGACACTTTTTCTTATGATTGTACAATCAAATTAATACAAGTGCCAAGATCCGTATTGCATATTGTCCATCAGGGGTGGTTCCTTTCCCAGTTGACGGTTGCCATGCCAACAAATTACCCCTATTGTGTCCGTAGAATATTGAATCATTTGCAGTATGGACGTGCTTTCCCATTATAGTTCTCCGGTGATCGAATTTCCGGCTACTCAGCCGATAGAGAAGCAAAATGCTCTGGTGGACAACTGCACAGGCACGGACCCGCCGCCTCCTAGCTTGGACGCTGCCACCGAGACGCAGGAGAAGCAGCATGTGGCCACACAAACGGAGCAGTGCTGCAGCAGTAAAAGCGTTGACTACGATGAGCGTGCCCTGGCCAAATGGCTGCGGCAGATATGTCCACTGGTGGAGCAGGAATTAAGCCAGCCCACGCCACTCATGGAGGATCAGCAGTCCAGTCAGTGTACGCTGCAGGAGCAGTTGCAGGTGCACACCTACCAGAAATTGACCATGGGCAGCGTCGAGAACTCGCAGGGATTGGCTATTTGGCTGTGCGTGCACACAAACAATGCGCCCGTTCTGGTGGCTACAACGGTGGCACCCCACGACGACTGGTGCGAGCATGTGGAGCAGCAGTTGAAGCTCTTTGTGCCGCAGCGTATGTCCCATGGCAATTTTGTGGTATACTCGGAGGCCAAAGCTCTGCCCCTCAAATCCTGCCTGCGCAGCCTATGTACTAATCGATTTAATAAGCAAATGTTTGCCGGCGCCACCATGGATGGCGAAATCTTTGTCTGGCTTTACGAGCAGGCACGTGCTGGCGGTGACTCGAGCGTGGAAGTAAAACAGCTGCACAGCGTCTCCTCCACACAAGGTGCTGCCGTGGCACTGGATTGGGTCACGGAGCAGCGTCTGCTCGCCTGCTATGCCAATGGCACGGTGCTCCAGTGGCAGGTGGCCAAGCAAATGACCTTGGATTGGGAGTAAGTTGTCAATAAAGGACATGGAAAAGTTTTACCTGACCAAATGTGCTATTTAGATATTCGTTGCCAGCTTCAGTGGCCACGGAATTGACGACTATGGTGTCGCTGGCCCTGGACGACTTCGTTTTGGGCACCAACAATGGCGGCGTCTATCGCTGCTGGAGCACAAGCCGCCAGCCAGCTGCCGAAAGATCCAACAAGCAGTTGCAGCTGCTTGCCCTGCGCAGGCATCGGTTCATGGTTTCGACCCTGCAGAAAACCGAAATGGATGGCCACCAAATTGTGGTCAGCTGCGATCTGAGCGGACAGACCTACTATCACGATATGCGACACGAGGAGGAGGTACGATATAGGAAACTGAAGAATTATTATTATGCTAATGTATATCATTGATTAATAGGACACCGCCCAATTAATTGTCCAAATTCCGCTGCCCTTTAAGAACGCAATCGCCTGCAGCCGGGATGCCAACATCATCTACTGTCCCAGCAGCGACGGTGCCTTGGAGTATTACAGGATCAGCGATGGAGCTCTTGGCCACGTCAAGGGCGTACTGCGCGGTCGTGGCCACTTCATTCGCATCAGCGACAATGGCTGCTGGTTAATCACGGGTCTTTATGGCAATGAATTTCAGATATTCTATATCGAAAACAATTTTAGCGAATAATCTCCATATACAAAGAGAAAGAATATTTTCAAATTGCTTGGAAGAATGTCTTTTTACTATTTAATTGTAAATTTTTATGCTTTACATGTTTACTTCTTTTTGGCGGGGGTCTTCGCATCGGTAGTCGGTTTGTCATTGGGGGTAGCCTTTATTTGACTGGCGGCAATTAGGTTTCTACTGAAAGCAGTTTCTACTTTACCGGCGCCAGTCGGTTTCTTGCTAGCCTGTTTATTTGTGTCAATCGGTACTTTACTGGAGGAAGCAGGTTTCTTATCAGAGGCAATCGGTTTCTTAATGGGGATAGTTTTGGCCTGATCTTTCTCACAGGTAGTCGGTTTACTGTCTTTAGTCTCTGGTTTATTCTTCGAGTCAGTTGGTGCTGGATTGGGTTTAGTCTCTGCTTTATTCTTCGAGGCAGTTGGTGCTGGATTGGGTTTAGTCTCTGCTTTATTCTTCGAGGCAGTTGGTGCTGGATTGGGTTTAGTCTCTGCTTTATTGGAGTCAGTCGGTTTTTTGGCGACTGTTTTCTTGCTGGATTTTTTCGTTCCACCTATATGCTTCTTGACATATGACTCACAAGGTTCTCTGACCCTGGAACAGGGATCCCTCTCGCATCTACCGCCGACGTGTTCAGCAATTGCATCCATTTCTTCGTCTTCGATACAGGGATCTGGACACAACTTACTGAGATCATCGCACTTGAATGGGGTCTTGGCCGCATCTTCTGGTTTGCCTGCGTCTTTCGATTTTTTCTTGTAGAATACCGATCCAGTGTGTAGGAGACCTTGTTGCTGCGGGGGGCTCCTTACCATTGACGGTTGTCCGTACGGATGGCGTCCTGCTTGTCTGATACTTTTGAAGCCAATTTTGGGACATGCTTTAAAAAATCAAATTAAGTCGCTTTGATATTACATATGCGCGTACGTCCGGCTCTTACCCGATGCCAATCTCCCGAAAGCAGTCAACATGTTGGTAATTTCCAAATTTTAAAATGAATTTTGAATGACACCTTCCATATTTTCCTACTCTAAGTGAACCTATAGTTAAACGCAAGGCCTACACAGCAGGAGAAAAATATTATCTGCTGAGAGATTTACAAATAAGTAGCTATAGCTTTGATTAAATATACTTTTTTTCTTTTTATACATAGCTGCGCTTACGTTTATTCATGGTTTCATCATCTTTTAATGCTGCTATTTACACGAGTTTAGATTAAAATTTCACAGATCTCTAACAAAATACAATATTTTGATATATGTATTTATATAATATATATGTAAATATGAATTTTAAATAAAATGCAAAACATAAAGACCTTCCATCTTAACTTTCTTTCAAGTAAAAACGTTCCATTCATTCCATTGCCTTTGCCGCCAGCTTAAAAATTGCTCGATTTCCGTACATAATTTTACATAAAAAACTTTTTTTTAGTCCAAACACTCATTCAACATGCGCGTGATGTACATAGGTATATAAAAATAACATGGGCATTTATAATTAAAATATATGTAGAAAATAGAAAATATTATTTTGAATACGTTTACAATGACATAATTACAAAGTGGAAATTAATGAATATATTGCAATCATTTGCACTAGCTTTCAATAAATTATACAATTAACATTAACGAGACAAACATGTATGTGTATTATTATATGCCTATTAATATATACTATACATATACATATGTATATGTAGTAGTACTGCACACAATTCTGCTAAATCCCTTACGCTCGACGTTCCGATCGTACATTTACTAATCACTATTCTCGTGCTCAACTTTTGGCTTAATCATATCAAATTTTGTTGATTTTCCGGTAATACAGGTAATAATAATAATAATAATAATAAGAGCTAAGCATCTGCCTAGCTGCTGATTGGCTAATAAATTCAACTTAATTGAAGAGCACAGTATTGGGATCTTCATTATCCATTTGTTTAACATGGCGTAGTACATCCTTTTTCGTTATAACGCCCAACAAGCGACTGCAAACAGTTTATATGTTTAGAGAAAATATTTGCAAATATACTATTATTATTTTACCCATTATGTGTGACAAGCGTTTGACGCAGACCCAATTTGCGGAACATGTCGACGACAGTTTCCATGGGCGTTTGATCTGTCACCGTGATAGGCGCCATGTCGAGTATCTTCTTTAGTTTAAGTGGCGACGGGCCCAGATTTTGAGTGGGTGTCGTGGACGTAAATAATACTATAGAATTACTGTTAATGCCCTCGATTAGACGCTTTGCGTTACCTGCCCATAAAAGTAGCTTTAAGTACATACGATTTTAATGGAAAAGCCATGTACTCACCAATCGCCAAATTAAGATCCCTGCGCAGCACAAAGCCAACTAGATATTGATTTTCTCTTGACACCACAACAGGATAGCCGTTATGCTCGGTCTCCTTAAGTAGATTTTCAACGTCGTCCACCGTCATGGAATCCTGTGTGATGACATTTAATGTTTCATTGCGTTTAGGTTGCATAACATCTGCCGCGAGCGTTGTATGTGCAAACTCCTCTTTGCTGTCGAGGAATGGGTAGCCATTTAACGCAATATGTGCATCATATATTCCCTGTCGGCCCAGAGCATCGCCCACCCACTTGGAGGCCATGGCAGCCGCCATCAGTGGCACAATATAGCGCACGCCACCAGTCAGCTCGAACATGATGACCACCAGGGAGACAGTCATGCGCGTTACGCCACCGAGTACAGCAGCAGCGCCAACAACTGCATACAAGCCGGGCGTAATCAGATTGCTGTCAGCACACTCTCCGGTAAAGAACCAAATGTTGGGATAACTATACGCAAACTGCTCCACGCCGATGCCAACAATGCGTCCCATAATAGCGCCCAACAACAGGGATGGTATAAACAGACCCGAAGGCACCTTAATGCCAAATGTAAAAATTGTCAGGGCCAGTTTAAGTATAAATGTCAAAACGAGCAGCCAAATAGAACGATAGACGCCGGGACCTGGTTCAGTCACCTCAATGAAGCTGGTGCCTGTGCTGATGTTCATTCGCTTGTAGTCACTATAGCATAATTTACACGATAAGTTACCTTAAGTTAATCTGAATAACTATAATACGCACCACAAGGGATTGGTGAGATCCCCAGACGAGCACTTGCTAACCAATAGAAAGATCAGTTCGTTCATGTTCATGCGCGTGAAGGGATTCGGATAGCAGATTATGCCAGTGACCAGTGTGACAACGAGAACTTCACTTACAGGATATTGACCCAGCTTGCTAAACTTTCTGTAGCGGCACCACCACAAATTTGCCTTTATAAAAAACGTTCCAATGACACCCTAAAAGGATAACAGAAGTTAACAATAACAATAATATACAGATAATACTCTAGTCTGATACTTACGCCCATGATGCCAAGAAAGACAAACGGAATCAGCTCAAAGAATATCCAAGGCTTGTTGTATTCCACAAAGAATAGCACGGAATGCTCATTGCCAAATGGTGTCAGGGAGCGTAGAACAAAAGCTGCAATGAGCGCACAGAAGAACGAACGCCACAGGGTCTTGAGTGGGAAATAATAGGACACCTCTTCCAATGAAAAAAGCACTCCGCCAATGGGCGCGCCAAAAGCCACCGAGACGCCAGCAGCAGATGCTGCTGATAGAATTTCACGCTTTTTGGCCTCGTTTCGTCCATATTTGGGAAACAGATGCGAAAAAATATTGCCAATGCAGCTAGCAATATGCACCATGGGTCCCTCCTTGCCCAGCGTCAAACCTGCCGACACAGAGAGCATCAAGCCCACCGATTTAATCAGCAATGTCCATTTGCCCAAATAACCACGTATAATAAAGCCCGACAATATGGTCTTGATCTCCGGTATGCCAGATCCGCAGGCGTACGGGGCAAACATGCGCACAAGCGACGCACTCAGTGAAGCAAACAGCAATGCCCATAAAATGTACCAAATATACGAGATGATGTACGGTCCCGTGCCAGTGCGACTGAGCCCAAGGATCTCGGGCCATGTTTTCCACTGAAATCAAAGTTATCAGGTGATATAATTATTAAATTTTAAATGAAAACTCACCGTGGAACAGTTACCCTCCTCGAAGACAGATTGCTTAGCCGGATAGCAGCATTGCTCTCGATTAAACCAAAAAGCGGTCGGACATATGCCGTGCTTCAGATCAGACATCCAGCTGGCACCGATATCAACCATGCCCGCCACACAGCCCGCTGCTATGCCCACAAGCAGAACGCATAGCCAGCCGGAGCCAGCATCGACGGCTCCCTGTCAATAAAAGCAAGCATTAGTTTAGATTGCAAAGAAATATTTCCACGTGACTTGCCTTGATCAAATCCCAAAACGAATCCTGTCGCTTTTTGACTATGTAACGATGCCGCATACGATCGCGAGCGATATCACGTTGCCAGTCGATGGTGTGAAAATCCTCGTACTGCCCAATGCCAGGTATGTCATCCTGTACATCCGAGGAGCCATAGAACGAAAGTGCTCCTAAAGCGGTGTACATGAGCGCAAAAAAAATAATACTTTCATTTAGATTGTTTATTATTCAGGTACATTTTAAATTTGACGAATTTGGCCGTTAAAACATATTTGGATCTTGAACAGTGGCTGTAAATAATTAATAATACATATTTTATGCCACAAGTAAACGAAAAACAAAATACAAACCAAATCAGACAAATCAGACTTCATCGAAAGGCTGTCTCATGAAAAGTATTACTTATCGACATGCGAACCCACAGCGGATTGCAATAGTATGTTATTTTTATTATATTGGAGCACAGACGCGTCGGGTTTCACAGGAATTGTGCACATGTCTGTAGACCATTTAACGTTTATGCATATGAATTAAATGAAAACGAGTAGTAGCCCGCATACACATACATACATGTATATGTTTAATAAAAGCAATAAAAGTAAGTACAGCTACACAGTCACAATTGATGTGACGTCGCCGGCCACGAGCTCGTGAGTAAGATTAACAAATCAAGGCACACACTCGTATAGATATTTTACATATGTTGAAATTGCTCCGCTTGGCCACTCACCGTCCATGGGATCTCCGAAGGCGCTGTGAGTTGGCACATGTTGATGCTGATGATGGTGTATTGTTCGCTGATTTGGAGCAAAGTCGCGTTCCGTGTCCGATTCGGTGGCAGTCTCACGATGATAGCCGCCAGCCCCAACGATCAGTTCGCCTGGACTGGAGCGTGGCGTGATGTCTATCATATCCTCATCGTCTGTGGCTGCAGTCAGTGATGTGGTTGCTGCCGAATAGGATTGTTTGGAATGTGGCGCAAGCGGATGATCTCCTCCCTCTCCGCCTCCTATGCTATGGCCATTTGACTGTGAAATCGTAGAGTACAGCGATATATCAGGCTATTAGGATATTGTAATTGGCTCGCGTTTTGCGTGAACATTATTCTAGCCATGAACAAAGCTTGGGAAATATAATAGATCTTTGTTTACGCACTGATATTGATAAGATTAAATGGCATTTTTGACTGCATGCATGGGCAAAGGGCAGGGTGAAGCGTAAAGGCGGCTGCTCAGCTGTTTAGATGAGACACCCACGTAGACACTTTTACAAAGCCATTTCCGCCCCTCAAATGCGCCAAATAATTTATGTATGAGCACATATTTCGTATGCAGTTTGCTCGAATTCGTATCAAATATCATATATGTAGGTTGATACTCTAGTATTACGTACCTTTTTCATGACTGTTTGATATGCGGTTATGTAGTTGTTGCCTTCCGCTGCAGCCTCTCGGCTACCTTTTAATGGGAGTGTGTCCATTTTAGTTAATATGTAGGTACTTATTAAATGCGTGTTTTAAAGACTCGCGCAGTAGAGTGATGAGGGATAACTTGCTGAAAAATCGGTTGACTTTTTGCGTTGCAATATTGCAGTTGTTTTTCCTTTCTTTTACATATTTTAGTTGGTATTAGTGTATAACAAGTGCAGCCAGACGTCACACACAATAAACACAAATACACAAACAGTTGTTCGAATTGGACAAACAAACACTTTCTTCACATTTCACTTGCACTTGCTATGTATAATTGATTTGAATTGAATTTGGTTAGAGACTTGGGCACATCTCTCAAGTACTATTTCATACTACAGGGGTTAATTACATTTTTAAATTAATAAATCTTACTCTTTTTATTTGCAAGTACTTAGTTTTATTGCAAAAATCACGGTCACATATGTATGTGACCAGGAACGGCAAACACAAAAATACCACATTTTATTTAACTAAAAAATACCAAAAAATCGTAACAAACGATGTCTTTGCGCAACCCAACGAGTTGTAAACGTTATTTAATTTAAGAAATATGACTATTTAAATAGATAAAAACGTAGAAAATTATATACATACAAACATATTAACAATTATAAATACGTATGTACATACACACACACACACACTACATTATCACTTGACGTCCTAGCAAGGCATGAAGACTTGCAAGTCGTACTTAAATTCATGAGAATCGCAGAGGAGGGCAACATATGCAAATACGTTTTGTAAAAGTTAAAGCTCAACGGGAGGAAGTACCAAAACCATAAGCTGCGTTTAGAGTAAGATAAAATTAATGCATACATACATACATACACTAATGCATATAAATACATATAAAAACTTGCAATCAACAGTTATTCGTCTATTTAATCAACGACACATAACAAGTTTTGGGTACCCCTAATGTGCTTTTAGACCAGTATTGTTAAGCACATTCCTCAGTATTTTTAGTACGTTTATAATAGAATCAGTATTTTAGCGCATTTAGCAAACGGTCGTTGCAGTCTCAGCTTCCAGAATTGTTTAAACAAACAAATACTAAAATAGCATTCGTCCGTCGTAAACAAAGGCCGCAAAACGCAAGTGCATTTGGCGTTAGCAGCAACAACACAACTACAACATGGCTGGTTTCGTAGCGGTGCATACAGGTTCGTTTTGATTGATGATGTGTGTTTATATATGAGTTTAACACGCATATTCCTCTCAGGAGCTGGAAATTGCATCGACGAAACGAAATACCAGCGCGTCATCAAAGAGGCATGCATACGGGCTACAGAAATCCTACGAAACGGCGGCAGCGCCATCGATGCCTGCGAGGCAGCTATAATGCGATTGGAGAATTGTGGCCATACAAACGCCGGCTTTGGTTCCAATCTATGCTTGGACGGCTCGGTGCAGTGCGATGCAGCCATTATGAGCGGCACCACGCTCAATTTTGGGGCATGCACCAATGTAAGCCGCGTTAAGAATCCCATTCAGCTGGCGCGCCGCATTTGTGACGGACAGTCGGATCAACAGCCACTAGAACGCATACCACCGATGGTTCTAGCAGCCAGTGGTGCAGAGCAGTTTGCTGAACAAGTGGGCTGTGCAATGGTCGATCCCAACGTGCTGATCTCATCAAAAGCGAAATTCCATTATAATCATTATAAGAGCAAATACGATATAGTTGTCGGCAACAGCAAGGCCGTCGAAGAGGCTGTGCCCGAGCCAGGCAACGAAGTGGAGCTAACAGCCGCACTGGACACCGTCGGCGCTGTGTGCGTTGATGGCTCCGGAAACACTGCAGCCGGCTGCAGTTCCGGTGGCATTCTACTCAAAGTACCAGGTCGCGTGGGCCAGGCTGCGACCTACGGCGCCGGCTGTTGGGCCACGGATACCGATGAACTGGCCATTGCTACGTGCACGACGGGCAATGGTGAGTATCTGATGAAAACGCTGCTCGCCCGAGAGATATGCAATGGCGCCTTTGGCAGCGATTGTGCTGTAACAAGTCTGCACAAAACATTTAAGCAAAAGTTCTTGGATTCTCCGCTGCTGCCGCAACAGCAGGATCTCTATGCCGGTGCACTGACATTGCTCTACTATCCAAAACAGAGCTGCGGCGAGGTGATGTGGAGTCATACAACGCAATCGTTCTGTGTCGGCTACATGGCCACAACGCAGAAAGTGCCAAAGGTCTGTACCAGCTGCTACTTGCCATCACTTGGCATCAGCTATCCATCATTTTACTTCTCTAAATAATCCTATATGTACATTCAATAATGTTGTTTTTTCTATTTGCAGTTTGTACACTCTCCGCTGCCCACGTATAGTGTGCCAGGCAGATCGTGCGTCGTCAATGGCCATAATTTCCATTTGCGCATTTAGTTGTGGCCAGCCAAATAGACTCAGTCACAGCCACCTTAACGGCCTCTGCCACAGACCACAGCCACAGCTACAGCCTCCTGCTCGTCGTCATTCAGTGTCAGCTTTGCAGTTTTCTGCAATTCATTTGATTTAATATTTAATTGCCGCGACAATCGCTGCCAGCGAAGGCGCGCCGCCCAACCGACAAAACCAGCCAGGTTGCAGCATTACCAACAGCAACAACAACAACGACAACATTTCATATTGCTTTCGTCTCGATGAAATATTAAGAATCATTAAATAAGAACTTTTCATTGTATAGCGCTCATGTATGTACATATGTCTATGTTTATGTGTGTGGCCATGCCGCACAACTAGCAATAAAATAAGATTATTTTCTATGTATGTAAGAACTTAAACTGAGGCGCAACGCATCTGCCCGAGCCATAAATCAGCCAACAGTGGTCGAAAACGTGAATATCGTATTCTAATCACATATTTAGAAATTATGACGTACGTAAATATATGCATGCATACATATATCTAGAAACGTTTTCTATTGGCGTTTAAGGCCGAGAGAATTCAGAACTTAACCCATTCTTGCTGACACATGTATTACCATGGAACTTACCAATAAACTAAGAATTCTTATTGTTACATCAAATCGATCATATATGTAAGAGATTTAAATTTTAATCAGAATATTTTGTGCAGTATTTATTATTGTTACAAAAATCGAATAAAATGTGAATGATTTTAGCTATAAGAAATGTTAAAAACTTTCTTTAACTGCAAGTTAAATAACTAGGTCGTAGTGTTGGTCTAGCCAGTTGAATCAGGCGTAGTGCCGGTTTCACCAGCCGTAGTGTCAGTTGAATCAGCCGTAGTGACGGTTTCACCAGCCGTACTGTCAGTTGGAACAGCCGTAGTGTCAGTTGGAACATCCGTTGTGCCGGTTGCACCAGCCGTAGTGTCAGTTGGAACATCCGTTGTGCCGGTTTCACCAGCCGTAGTGTCAGTTGGAACAGCCGTAGTGTCAGTTGGAACAGCCGTAGTGTCAGTTGGAACAGCCGTTGTGCCGGTTTCACCAGCCGTAGTGTCAGTTGGAACAGCCGTAGTGTCAGTTGGAACAGCCGTAGTGTCAGTTGGAACAGCCGTTGTGTCAGTTGGAACAGCCGTTGTGCCGGTTTCACCAGCCGTAGTGTCAGTTGGAGCATCGGTTGTGCCGGTTTCACCAGCCGTAGTGTCAGTTGGAACCTCCGTTGTGCCGGTTTCACCAGCCGTAGTGTCAGTTGGAACAGCAGTAGTGTCAGTTGGAACAGCCGTAGTGTCAGTTGGAACAGCCGTTGTGCCGGTTTCACCAGCCGTAGTGTCAGTTGGAACAGCCGTTGTGTCGGTTTCACCAGCCGTAGTGTCAGTTGGAACAGCCGTAGTGTCAGTTGGAACAGCCGTAGTGTCAGTTGGAAAAGCCGTAGTGTCAGTTGGAACAGCCGTTGTGTCAGTTGGAACAGCCGTTGTGTCGGTTTCACCAGCCGTAGTGTCAGTTGGAACATCCGTTGTGCCGGTTGCACCAGCCGTAGTGTCAGTTGGAACATCCGTTGTGCCGGTTTCACCAGCCGTAGTGTCAGTTGGAACAGCCGTAGTGTCAGTTGGAACAGCCGTAGTGTCAGTTGGAACAGCCGTTGTGCCGGTTTCACCAGCCGTAGTGTCAGTTGGAACAGCCGTAGTGTCAGTTGGAACAGCCGTAGTGTCAGTTGGAACAGCCGTTGTGTCAGTTGGAACAGCCGTTGTGCCGGTTTCACCAGCCGTAGTGTCAGTTGGAGCATCGGTTGTGCCGGTTTCACCAGCCGTAGTGTCAGTTGGAACCTCCGTTGTGCCGGTTTCACCAGCCGTAGTGTCAGTTGGAACAGCAGTAGTGTCAGTTGGAACAGCCGTAGTGTCAGTTGGAACAGCCGTTGTGCCGGTTTCACCAGCCGTAGTGTCAGTTGGAACAGCCGTTGTGTCGGTTTCACCAGCCGTAGTGTCAGTTGGAACAGCCGTAGTGTCAGTTGGAACAGCCGTAGTGTCAGTTGGAACAGCCGTAGTGTCTGTTGTTGTGTCAGGTATAGCAGTAGTCACGGGTGGAACAGTTGAAGCGATAGGACAACTAGCTGGCTTAGTGGCCACGCAATTTCTTATGAGAGTGTCGAAATACGGCGTGGAGGATGGGCACGTTCTTGGCAAGGTTACCCAAGTATCGCTGGTAAGACTGTTCCTCTGGCAGTATACTGCGGACTTGCATGTCGTATCCGCATAAGCATAGAAAAATAATGTGGTAACTCCAATTGATTCCCGCGTGCAGATGGCTACTCGGTCAGCAGGACTGATCGTTGTTGCTGGCGCCGCAGTTGTTGTCGTGTATCCAACATCCTCACTGCAGGTGGACGATATTTTCATCTACAAAAATTTGTTATAAGATTTCGTAAGCAAAGAACTTTCTTAAGGACTAATTACATAGTCCGCCGCACACTGTGGCACACAGACGGAAACGTCTGTTATTCCAATGTCAGACACACATATCTCATCCTCTTTGCAATCAACTACGGCGGATATTTCGCCATTAATACAGCGTCCAGCTTGATTCTTGCTAACACAGGTGTACTTTTGATTATCAGAGCAAACCCCGCAGCCGCTGGAGCCGCTGCCACACACATTTACTATGTCAGTAAGCTCAACGAGATCAGTTTCCTTCACGCATATTGAATCTGCATTGGTGCAAACGTAGTCCGCATCGCATTGAATCTCATTTCCGTATTTGTTACCATCTGAATTAAATCGGATTATCAGCAAATGTGCTTTTCAATATCCTTTTCCACTTACCAAAGCAATTGTAATATGAGGTCTCCGTAACGCAGAGGGCATCGTTTGCGCTCTGACAAACTCCGCACTTGGGTTCATCCGCTCCTTGGGCCACAGCACAGCCCAAGGCTAGAATAGCTACAATTGCCGTCAATCTGATCATTTTTCGACTTTTCAATTCGGTTGCATATCACGAACTGTTTCGAGGCATCCCACTGAGTTATCTTATATACCCGAATGATAGCCTTCAATTTAGCATACGCAAATGTATTGCTACGGTTTGGTTTATGGGTCCTGCCATTTTAATGATTGTTGACTCGACAAATGGACCATAAAGCATAACAACGACAGGTTGTTAAAATTATATGACCAAAGTTCCTTGTCTTTTTCCCAAGAACACAGAACTGGCTTATCTTTATCAATAGCCATCTCTTTCTTATCTTTACTGGCGAAATATTAGGTATTAAAAAATTAAAGTTAAGTTAAGTTAAGTTTCCCGATTCGTCACGCCTCTGTAGAGGGCGCCGGCAAAATATTTGGATAGATCTTTAGAGTTCAGCAGTTGTCTTCAGTACAAAGTGAGGATTAAAGTTTATAAAGATACAGATTAATACAGGAAACCTTTTTGAGCCAAGCAAATCGTAAGTAATTCAATTCTAATGTAACGTATACAAGAAGGCATCTCCGAGCCCATAATATAATATATATATATATATATATATCCTTGATCAGTCGATATAGGCATGTCCGTCTAACAGCTTTAATGCAAACTAGTTTCTCAGATTTAAAGCTATTGTCGTAAAATGTATCATTGGCCCGACTTTCTGTATCAGGCCGGATCGAATCGCAATATAGCTGCCATTATTTTTATTTTTTCAAGATAGCTTGACCAAACTCTGAATTTACTAATATCATGGGTCGTAATATTCTCAGTTATAACTTATAAAGCAACACAACAATAAATGTCTCGAAAAGCAGTCGAAAAAAAGTTGAATTCAGAGAGTTGGAGTAATATAGATATTGAGTTATAATATAAATAATATAGATATTGTGCAAATTAAAATAGTGCCCGAGACTTCTGTATTGATAGGTCAATTTTTCCCGTGCGTCTTAAAGACCTGACCTGGCCTGATCAGGCAAAGGTATTTAATCTTCCACGTGCCGAACTTAGCCTTTCTTTCGGTATTGAATTAGGTATCAACAAATCGATCAGATACCTAATTCATTTCAAATTTAAACAATAGATTTTGAATAAGTATTTAATATTGTATATTTTAAAGAATATGTGACCTGTGTGTTAAGAACTTTTGTTATAGACATCGAATTAAAGCATCATAATTTTAATAGCAAATTTTTATGGCTTGCTTTAAATGCAGACACTGAGGCTAGTTTTTGGGACCGGAATTTCTTATTTGCCTTGTTGGACAACTGAGACTATGCGGGACAACTAGCCGGCTTGGTAGCCACGCAAGCTTTGGTGCGCGTATCGAAATACGGCGTGGAGGATGGGCACGTTCTTGGCACGGTTACCCAATCATCGCTGGTAAGACTGTTCCTCTGGCAGTATATTGCGGACTTGCATGTCGTATCGGCATAAGCATAGAAAAATAATGTGGAAACTCCACTTGATTCCTGCGTGCAGATGGCTACTCGCTCAGAAGGACTCATCGTTGATGCTGGCGCCGCAGTTGTTGTGGTGTATCCATCATCCCCACTGCAGGTGGCTGACTTTTTCAACTACGGAAAATCTCTATTAAATACCGTAAGCAATGAAATCTTTTAATGGGTACTCACAAAGTCCGCCGCACACTGTGGCACACAGACGGAAACGTCTGCTAATCCAATGTCAGACACACATATCTCATCCTCTTTGCAATCAACTACGGCGGATATTGCATTATTAATACAGCGTCCAGCTTGATTCTTGCTAACACAGGTGTACATTTGATTATCAGAGCAAACCCCGCAGCCGCTGGAGCCGCTGCCACACACATTTACTATGTCAGTAAGCTCAACGAGATCAGTTTCCTTCACGCATATTGAATCTGCATTGGTGCAAACGTAGTCCGCATCGCATTGAATCTCATTTCCGTATTTGTTACCATCTGAATTAAATCGGATTATCAGCAAATGTGCTTTTCAATATCCTTTTCCACTTACCAAAGCAATTGTAATATGAGGTCTCCGTAACGCAGAGGGCATCGTTTGCGCTCTGACAAACTCCGCACTTGGGTTCATCCGCTCCTTGCGCCAAAGCACAACCCAAGGCTAGAATAGCTACAATTGCCGTCAATCTGATCATTTTACGCCTGAATATTGCGAACTGATTTGAAGTCTCTCGCTTAGCTGCTTATATATGCCCTGTGGTTCGGTTTATGAGCCGTCATTGTAATTATAATGATTGTTGACTCGTCAGATGGGACCTAAAGCACTATCGAAGCATTATTTTCTGCCAAGCATAAGAACGACAAGTTATAAAAGTTGAGATGCAATTGACACCCAAGTTTCAGATATTTTTGGCTTATCTTTATCTACAACCATCTCTTTATTATCTTTACTGACAAAGTATTAAAATATAATAAAGTGAAGAAGGTCAATTCAGATTGTTTTTAATTTGTAATTAAGTTTGAATATTGGATAGGATATATCAGACCTTAATTCAGGATAACTCCTTCCCTGCAAGTCTAGTTTTGAACGCTTGTCATCCTGAATCCTGTATTTTGTATAGCTGTTTTTATAGATCGTCTGCATTCCGAGCATACCCGGTTGCCGTTTGACCTTTCAAAATGTTTTAAATGATTCAACCAACTAATGTGCAAGAAAAAATTAGTTAGATATGAAACTAAAAGCTTAATAGTTGGCGGTTTCGAGGGTTAATTCACATTATTGTGGTACTACCCTCTGATTATCTTAAGTATATACAAATACAAATGTAAATGCATACACCACAAAAAATTTTCATTCATTCGCTTATGTCTTCCACAATAAATTTCAGATGAACATGAGATTACAGTTGGTTGCTTGTCCCATTAGTGTATCTACTCAACCGGGGGTTCAGCTTCTTCAGCCTCAGCGGGCTCGGTTGGCGGTAGCGTTATCTTCTTTGGGGGTATTTCCTCCTGCTCAAACTCTTCAGGTTGTTGCTCTCGCTCCTCCTCTCGCTCGAACGGATAGAAAGTATGCTCCTTGATTTCATCAAATTTTACTAATCGGTCCTTAGGCTTAATGCCTCGCAAGGCGCGAGTATCTGCTTCGTTTAGCTGGAAATCAAATATGTTTAGATTCTGCTTAATGTGTAGAGGATTGCCAGCTTTGGGTATGGGAACAACACCATAGTCAATCTAATAAGAAATTCAAAATTATACTCTGTATGGATACGGGCTTAAATTTGGCGCATACCAAGTAGCGGAGCACTATTTGTGCCGCAGTACGCTTGTACTTCTTTACGAGACGTCTCATTCCCTCGGAGAAGAAGTAAATTGGAGAGTGCATTTCACGGTCCGGCTGACCAAGCGGCGCATAGGCAGTTACAACGATGCCATTATAGCGGCAGTAGTCGACGAGATCCTTTTGCATGAAGCCCGGCCAAATCTCCACCTGATTCACAACCGGCTTTGATGAGCTGCACTGTATGATGCGTTGCACCTGCTCCATATTAAAGTTTGAGACACCAATGCTGCGCACCATTCCTAGCTTTACAAGCTCCTCCATGGCATGCCAGGTATCAATGTAATCGACGTCGCTTTGGAACACATTGGAAATTTACAACATTTCAGTCCGCAACCAACATTACAGGCGACCTACCTCGTTTGAACCTTATTGCCATCCATTGGCTGAAGAATCTCATCACACATGTGCTTATAGCCCACTGGAAAGTGCATTAGATACAGGTCGATATAATCGAAGCCGAGGGCTTCCAGCTGCTTTTCGCATATGCGGCGCACGTCTCGCGGGTCATGGTGGGTATTCCAAAGCTGTCCATGGAGAAGGATAAAGGAAATTTAAGGTGATTCTCAGAGAAAGAGAACGACTTACCTTGGTAGTGAGAAAGATGTTCTCCCTAGAGACATTCCCCATTTGTATTTGCGTTCGTATCGCCTCGCCCACCTCCCTTTCGTTTTCATAGCAAAACGCCGTGTCGAAGTGTCTAAAGCCTGTCTCCACAGCGCAGTGGATTGCAGTCAAGCATTGATAGCCTTTCATCTGCAATGTAATGGAAAAAGCTTTAGGGGACTGACTGGTTTGTAGCCGCATTACTTGCCTTATAGGTTCCATATCCAAGTACGGGCATTTCGTAGCCGCTGCTCAGCTTGATCTTTGGTGCCATCAGCAGGGCCTTAACACCGCAAACAGGCTTGTCGCCCAGTATCAGGGCCACCCTCGAGTTGTCTTCTTCATCGTCGTCACATGTGGTCAAACAGCGTGCCGGTATCATTACGAAAATGTTCTCGAATAAAAACAAACGAACTTTTATATACAATAATTTAAATTTATTTGATTACCAATTTTGATCCCAAAACGAATGAATAACGTGATTTCAAACAGCTTCAACCAAATCAAACAAGAAAATTTTTACCATTGGAAAGCAGATGCTAATTGCAATCTATTTAATACATCAATAATTATTTACATGTGCGCTAGCCAAGCTTTTGCTTTAAAACTCAATGGCAAATGGATAGTACTTGTGATTTTGACCCTTGATCAAATTCAAAGGCACCATTCGTTCGCCAGTGTTATAGCCATCCAGCACAGACTTCTCCTCCTCGGTCAGCTCAAAGTCAAAGATGTTAAAGTTCTCAGTTATGCGACCGGCATTGGATGACTTCGGTATGGGTAAAACACCCAGCTCCACCTGCAACAAGACATTCAAGCTGTTAGGAATGTGGTTAGGGGTTAAGTTCCCCAGTTCAACGAGAATACGGGTTCGAATCTTGTGCTCTACACAAATGTGCTATTGTCTAGGCCGAAAGCCATAGTACCCATAGCCAAAGCTACTTAAGTGACTTTGGAAGTCTATAACTATACCCTTTCCTTAGGTAAGAGTACACTAGCTACCCATCAATTTCGACGTAACGTCCAAACTCACCAAATAGCGCAGTACAATCTGTGGAGGCGTCTTGTTATATTTTTCAGCTATAGCCTTCACTTTGGGAGCATACAGAAACTCTGGCTTCTGTTCATCCGGATTGGGTTTTCCAAGTGGCGTGTACGCAGTTAAAGTGACTCCGTGCTGTTTGCAGAATGCGGCCAGTTTCTTCTGGTTAATCGCTGGTGAGCACTCTACCTGATTGGTGACCGGCTTGATCTCACAATTGTTTATCACACGCAACAACTGTTCGCTGTTGAAGTTCGAAACCCCAATGCTGCGCACTAGGCCAATTTTAACTAGCTGCTCCATGGCCTTGTATGTGTCCAAGTAGTCAACGTCGCTCAGCTGAAGCACTCCGTTCTCGTCTTTCGGCATCAGAGTTTCCTCATCGATATACTTGTAGCCCACCGGCATGTGCATCAAATACAGATCTATATAGTCCAAGCCAAAGTTGCATAGCTGCTTGCGGCATGCAACCTCTACGTGCTTGGGATCATGATGTATGTTCCAGAGCTACAAAGGTACCAACGATAGATATGTAGAAAATGTCTCTGATTCCGATTCAAGATCTCACTTTTGTCACTAGGAAAATATCTTCACGCTTGACCACACCCTCAGCAATCTTATCGCGTATGGCCTTGCCCACCTCCGCCTCGTTTTGGTAGAAATAGGCGGTGTCTATATGCCGGTATCCGATGTCAATGGCGTGCTTTACAGCTAGTTCACCCTCATTGTTCTTCGACTGCAAGTGAATATAAATATAGTGCAGTTTTCAAGTTTAACCAATCTTAATTTAAACATAATGAATTAATACTATTTTATTTCAGTTGATTAAACTTAGTCTAGCTCTGTTATATTAGATATATGAAGCTTCAATAAGAACTTACATTATATGTACCCAAACCCAAGATGGGCATTTCGTAGCCATTGTTCAATTTAACAGTCGGTGCCGGCTTCATAGCTAATTAATGGTTTTGAGACGAATGAGACAAAAACTGTCGGTTAATTGTTTGACAAGCAAATATACTTAAAGTGTGGCCACCCAAAACATGTAACATTTGTTAAAATGTTATTAATAGAGGGCACTAACTTTTTACATTAACCGGCAAAGTAATGCATCTGTTAACAATTAATCTGAGTGGTTTAGCGCATTTAAAAAATAGTCGCATTTTGTAAAAAATAACCTTTTCTTTGTTTTAATTTTGGCAAGACTAACAAGTGACAGCTGTGCTTGAAGATTAAATGAGTATTTTTTTTATATCTATTGGTAACTATTTAATGCAGCAGTAAATTAATAAGGGCGATAAAAATAATTTACTGCACAATAGAAAGGAATAATAATATAATTAAACAAAATATATGTAATATTTACTGTTTTACTCTGTGAATTTAAAGTATCTTAAGAATTGTACCGCCGATGCCACAGTAAATTCGAAATCACATTAAATCGTGATTTCACATGGTAGTCGCGATGTATCGATTAAATCTTTAGTTAGTTAGTTATCGATTGCTTAGCAAAATATTACAATGCAGGAATATATGCATGTTTACGATATGTTTTATTAGTATCCCAAAGTTTACGAGCTTGATGTCCGAGATTGAAATTACAGACATCATGGACGACAATGCGGATACTACACCAGATTTAGAGTCCTTCAATGGCTATGGTTTTAATAATTGCACACCTGCCGAAGCATTTATTCAAGGCCTCTCTGGAATGGTAAATCAGAGTGATGTTGAGACCATGATACGAGCACAAAAACAAATGTGAGTAGACAACAAAGAAAATAGTTGATAAACATGCAAGTAACTGCAATTATGCTGGAAATCAAAATGATGGCACAATGAATGAATACCGTTTAAAACTTTCAGGCTACAACGGTTTGAGAAGACGAATGAAATGCTGCTGAACTGCAATGCCTTGTCACAAAGTCGTTTAAAAAACGCAAATGAGGAATTTAAACGACACGTTAAACTGCTGAGTGAAATGAAAAAAGATCTGGATTACATATTTCGTAAAGTACGTATTATTAAGCAGAAACTACAACAGCAGTATCCCGCGATATATGCGGAAGTCCAGCCTCAGCGAAGCAGCTTGGCCGAAGAGGCGGAAGATGAAACGGAAAGGGCGAAGCCTGCGCAGATTGTGGAAACAGCTGAGGTGAAGCCGGCCACCGAGCAAACACCCAAGAAAAGCGGAGCCACGATCGAGTATGTGCAAATGCAGGAGGCCATCGAAAATGGAACAGTTGAGATCGAAAATGAGCTCATAAAACGTGTGTGTTCCGTGGAGACTGCGAATCCTAATGACTCATCCGATTGTACGTCAGAGGACACTGGTTAATCATTAGTTCATAATTAGATTTATTTAACATAAAGCCTAGTAATGTATTTATGTATACAATATTTATAAAAACTAGTGGAATATTCTGTCTAAGGAATAGGTTAGAAAATTATTTGGTACTTATATTGTTTCGGAACTTTTGAGATTATAACGCGTCCATCATAGCTCAACGATGCAAAAATCCAAGGATCAACGTTACTCCATTCTGCACAGTACACAGAGTCTTCATGCTGATCGAAGGTCTGCAGTAAGCCATCGGACAGGACTTTGTGCCGTTCCTGTGAGCCGGCTGTAGTCCCCTCGCCAGATTCAGTACCCGGAGCTTCTGAGCTAACCGAGCCGGCACAGGTCAGAAGCACCTTACAATCACTTGAACTGGATAGTATTAATTGATCATGAAAAGTGTTAAACCGCACAGACCAGACCCAATGCGAATGATCGCTGCGCTCAAAAACTGGAGCCTTCACCATGCGACAGTCCCACACTTTAAGGCACCCATCGTCGCCACCGGTCACCAGATGACACTGTTTATTTGGATTGCAGTCCAAGTCGCGAACAAACTGCCCATGTGCATCCTCTATGCTCCAAGCGCAGTGTTGAGTGTCGCGTACATCGTATGCCCGGACGCTAGTATCGTGCAAGGCCAAAAATTGATGTCCCTGATGATGATGCGACCATTTGCCACTGGTAAATGGTGACATGTGCTTTGCTCCGCTGGTGCTGCTACTGACTTCGGCCACCACGCGAGTGGATGCCTCCGCGCGTTGCATGACAGCCAATTTATTGCCAACGACGCAGGCTAGAGTCTGCTCTTGACTGGGATGAAATTCAACAGTCTTTACGCGTTCGCCCAATTCGGCCGTATCCAACACCTCAATTTTTGCCCAAGGTATATATTCACTTTTAATTGGTTCATCAGCGGCATCCTTTGACCCCTCAGCCGGTAACGTTAAGAGTGCCGCCTGGGACAGCACCTGCGCCCCCTTTTGAACATTATACACGGTTACCAGCAAACGCGCATCGTAAGGACAACTGTTGAGCTTCCAAACCTCGCCTAGTGCATGTTCAAAAATCTAACAGGATAGACTAAATATATAAGAAAATGTATAAGCTGCTAACACAAAATGTACGCTCACTTTTGACTGTATGGTGCCCTGCTCCTCGTCATATTGCAGCAGGTGCAACTGATTGGTAGGCTTCAAAGAGTTTGTGGCTATAAAAAAGCACACATCGTTGCCCTCGCCGTATTGCGGCGTAAGAGCGCGCGCCTGTAGCTCTAATCCATAAATCAAGCTGTTCTCCTCCATTTAAAACGCTTCTAGCAAAGCGATTCTTATTGGAACTACTGAAAGCAACAAAATAAATAAATATTCGTCGCATCATAATAGTAAAATTTAAGCTAATTCGATTCTACAGATGTGAGCTAGAATCATTTGTATCCGTTAGATACAAGAATATATTATTGCATGTGCTAGATTTAGGAGAAGCAAATTTATTACCTATAAGTCAAAGCAACTAGGTAGCATATAATTTTATAAAATTTACGAAAATTTTAACTTTTCCATTCATAAAAGGCTTCTTACCCAAATAACACTTAACAATCAAGCAACTCCTGTTCTATTATATTACAATATTTCTATATATTTCTTATTAGAGATGAGCGCATAATTCAGAAATATCGAAAGACGGAGCATAAAAATTAATGTATGTAGCTAAAACCTTACTATCAAAGCCAAACGGAGAATAAACATCATAAGCCATCTAGGACATTTGTATATTTATAATATTTGTATATATATAAAAAATATATAGTTTATAGGTAACAATATTTATAATTTTGTTTTATTTTCATTTGTTATTCACTTATAGAGTAAGCTATTAGTTATTATTCAGCTGACACAAAATACAACTCTGCGCACGCTCAAATCAACACTGTGTTGCCTCCATCCATTTTGTTTTAGTGAAAAAAGATTCTCAAAAGTAACAGACGCGCATTAACAAAATTGACATTGCAGTATAAATAGTGACACTTTTAGCATATTCCACAACTTAACTAAATTCCCAGAGTGCAACGCAATGGCACAAAACATCAGCCCTGAACAGAGTGGTGCTGGTGGCAGTAGCAAACACAACGATGACTCGCTGCCTATCAAAGACAATCATGCTGTGAGCAAAAGGTAAGGCGCCAAATTTTGATACATACATATGTCTATATATATGCTTGTTCGGCTGCTAAATGATTTGCAATAATTTCTTTATTGAACACAGACTGCACAAAGAACTCATGAACCTAATGATGGCCAACGAGAAGGGAATTTCGGCGTTTCCAGACGGCGAAAACATCTTTAAATGGGTCGGCACCATTGCTGGCCCAATAAACACTGTGTACTCGAGCCAGACATATCGGTTGTCGCTCGACTTTCCAAATTCCTATCCGTATGCCGCGCCTGTGGTCAAATTCTTGACACCATGCTTTCATCCCAACGTCGATCTGCAGGGTGCCATCTGTCTAGATATACTCAAAGACAAGTGGTCAGCGCTGTACGATGTGCGCACCATATTGTTGTCCATACAATCGCTCCTCGGCGAACCAAACAATGAGAGTCCACTAAATGCGCAGGCCGCGATGATGTGGAATGATCAAAATGAGTACAAAAAATACCTAGATGCCTTCTATGAGAAGCACAAGGATACCTAAACACCAAAAAACTGGCGGCGGCTCCAAAACTCATTCTATGCTCATATTGCGGCGTATTTATTACCATTTGTATGCGTGGTGCAAGCAACACCTACACCCCGCCCCACATCTCACCCTTTATATTAGTTCATGCTGTTTTGGTACATTTGCATTTCTACTGAATTTCATTGATAGGTACTATTGGATTTTTTAATTTTTGCAGCAAATTAATTATATGTAATGTAATGGTATATGTATGTAATTTTCAGACCGTCTGTTTCTTTAAGCTTAAGCATGAAATTTAGTTAATTGTTTTTTTATAAATGATTTTTGAAGTATGTAAGCGGGCTACTGTCATCAATTTGTGTACTGATTTCAAGCAATTGTGCAGGCCCGGCCATCATGTGAATGTTAGCTAATTTTATAGTAACCTCCCAGATACCCACTCACTACATATATGTATTTACTTTTAATGCAGCAGTTTTTTCGACTCGATAAATATATATATATAAAAATTTTAGTATTTCAAAAGATTTAAATTTTTAAATTGTCATAAGTTGAGTTAGCTTCAAGAGTTATTGAAATCATATATGTATACATATATATATGAAAATAAAAGCGGATAACTGATTAGTTATGTCAATGGATCCGAATTGACGTTTCTGCCAATTGATAACTATTCATTTTTAATTGTTTATACTGCCAAAGGATCGACTCGATTTTAAATGACTTTTTGTGTGAGCGGCTAAGGCAGCTCGGGATCCAAAAATACGTACACATCGCTTGCAGCGCCACAGTGGTTTCTGGCTATGACGTCTCATGAAGTGATCTTTTAGATTTTGATCTGTATAGAAGCGTTGTTCGCAGCATTTGCAAGCAAACATGTATTCGCCCTTGCTCTTGTGCACCCATTGATGGCGCGTGAGCAGAGCCTTGCGACAGTAGGATTTGCCACACTTTTCGCACATATACTTGGAACTGTCGGATTCAATATCTTTAAAGTGTTGACGCCGTAAATGATAGTTGAGACTGCGAAGCGCGCTATAGACTTTATTGCAGTCCGGTTGTGTGCAGGAATATGTGGACCTCTGGTTCTGGTGAACCTCCTGTAAGTGCGCGGTCAGCAAATTTTCTCGCGAATACGTTCTGCCACATTCATCGACTGGACATTTGTAGGGCTGCTTCCCTTGATGCTTTTGCATGTGGGCCTCATAAAGAGACATTTTGTAGAACCCGCGGCCACAAATGTTGCAGTCTATTTTTTGCCTGAGTCCCAAAGGACGCTTCGAAACGGCTGGATTTGAAGAGATCGCAACTTTTTCCTTCCCAAGAGATTGTTGTGCAGCATTATCCTCGATTATATATACTTCTTCCTGTAGTTATAAAAGAGAATGAAATGTAAATTCCATAAACTTTTACCAATTTAGATCATTAAACCAATTTATATGCATACTCAAATTTGTATGCATAAAAACATACCAATATCTATGTATATATGCTGGTTCCAAACAAGTTTTTTTGATTTCATATATATTCAACTAATAAATAAACAAATGTGTTCTTGTTAAGTGTGATCGACTAACATATACCTAGTACACATTTTCAAAGCTCATCCCCATATGTGTGTACATACATATGTATATGTGTAGAGAAAAATAGAAATACTAAAAACCTCATTTCCGGAATTCCTTACAAAATGAGTATTTAACAACACTGGTCGTACAAGGAATCCTTTTTAATGTTCTTTAATATGCAAACCGTAACCATGACAACCTCTTCCATATGTTTCCATATACATTAGTACATATAAACATATATGTATCTAGATAAATTTTTAAATTTGTGTGTTATCGTATATGTATGCATACTCGTATTATGTTGCCACGTTCTCACGCTAATAAAATAAGCGTGCCATAAACACAAGTGTATACATCAATACATATACATATGTATGTGTATATGTGTGCTGCCTTCCGTATCCAATAGACAGTTGTACATACATACGCTCATATTAACAGTTATACATTCAAACGTGCTCGATGCACAATCAACCACATGTGATTAGATTATTACGAACTTGAGGACATACATACATGCATAAACACAAAACAAAAAAATATATACATACATATGTATGTATTTAAATGTGTTCTCTTTAATAAACACTCACAATGTCTTCAATTGACTCCGGCATGACGACAGAAACCTCAGTGGATTGAACTTGAACAATTAATTTTTCGGACTGTGCATGCAAATACTCTTCCAGTGGAGCTTTAATCGTCTCGGATGGTATATCCTCCTGATTGCACCGGTGTCCGTTAACCTTAACGTTGACTTCCGACAGGAGTTTTTCGAAATTACTGAAGGACTCCTCGCACATACGTTGAAAATCATAGAATTTCTGCACCAATTGGTAGCAGCTATCGCAGATGCATCTAAGCACAATCTGAGGACTCCTGCCATCTTCGAGTGGCGCTTCCAAAAATCGCAGTCCGTCCCCAGCTCGCATGCAACCAATAAACTTGGCCGCCAAATCCTTTTCCTCGTACAAATCGTATGTTGAATCCTCTGCACTCAGCAGGACCAAGCATGCCCGACACAGGGACATTCTACCAGTCGTAGCCCTCGTCGCGTTTGTGGTGCTAGCAAGTGCGCGACGCGCGCTTTGTTTTCGTTCTGATTTAAACATCGCGTTGAGTTACATACGCTCAACCGGCTTGCCATAAATTGACATCAATTGCCACAATAACAATACATTGGTATGTTTGTGTGTATGTGTGGTCTGGAGCTCCCAAAATGTGGCACCCGTGCCCTGCGCCTCGCGGCCTTTTACTGTGCTGGATAATAAAAGCTTCGTGTATTAGATGCTGGCGTTGTTTCTACCGGCCGACGAAAACAAAAAAACTGTTATGCTTCACAGGGTGGCCCAGTAAAGCTTTGGCTTCCACAGGGCGCTACAACAGCAGGTATTCAAACTTGGCGCCATATGTATTAAAATGTATTTAGTCGTGCTGGAATCGCACAAACACATAATAAAAATATTAAAATAAAATATAATGATTTGGGCTTATAGGTTTAGGTAAATCTGTGCTAAATGCTACATACAAACACATGTATTTATTTAGAGCCAGACTTATAAATAGGTAAACCTTATACACTATCCGTTGTCATTGTCGAACCGACCGTTACGGACGTTGCCACCGATGATATTGTTTCCATGGATACGTTTAACTTCTTTTTGAATGCTCGCAATGCATCCAGGTGATATATCTGCTGAAAGCCAGCTTGCTTCTCTATGGACAAAGTATATATGTTTCGTTCGCCACTGGAACTCAGCAGCGTGGGCATATAATGGGGCAAATAAAGACGCTGCGTTTCTGAGGCATCGCTGCTTTCCGAGTTATCGCCGCTGGCTACTTCTTTGCTGTAGGAGCGATGCAATCGCATTATCTGCACGTACTGGTAGTGCGATACGTAGAGGAATGGTTCACGATATATGAAACCTGTTGGCGCGTAGACCCAATTTAAATCGTAGGGACGCGAACGACAGCCAAACTCATCGACAAACACTCCGCACTCGGCAAAGCAAAGCAGAAACTCCTGCCGCGAGATGCGCACGGCTACAAAGGGCTGACAATTGGCCGTATGCTGCAGCGTCTTATCCGCTAGATCGACAAACTCCTCGGCCGCATAGTTATCCAGATCGATTTCGTAGAACTTGTCCGAGCTGACGATTGCCGAGTGGCGTGTGTAGAAAATCGATGTTACGGCCGTGGCCGTATCCAATGCGCGCACTGGCTTAAATTTATGCAGTTTATGATCGTACCTGAGAATGACAATGCGCGTCGAGGTGGCTGCAATGGCAACCGAGTCGAGGGCATTTTCAGATTCGTTTGATATCTGCACAAGTTTCCACTTTTCGCTGTTCGATCGATTGGCTAACGGCAGCTCAATTACAGTCGTCTCTAGGACAGGCTTTTGACAGGGAATTGCGCTTTGGCAGCGCGACTCTAGCTGCCGGTAGTCGCATTGGTAAAGCTTCTCGCCATTTGCGCCCACCATCATGGCCTTTGCCAAGCGCGTCGATATGGACACAGAGCTAACCGACTCGATGCCAGCAATATGCAACAGGCGTTGTGTGTCCACATTGTAGGCAAACAGACCGCTGTTGCAGCCAAATAGCAATATTTTCTGCTCGACCACCTCGAATGCACAATTGATTTCAATGAGCTCGCCATCAACGGAGTCCTGTACGCCCTTGTAAGCTAGTGTGCCTATATACTCTTCCGTGTGGTTAAGCTCGCTGTCTACTGTTTCCAGGCTGCTGCGACTAGACTCTGGCCGCCCCTCGCTGAGCTCATCGCAGGTCGATTCAGTTTTGCTACCACAGTTGCCAGTTACATTGGCTCGGCATTTGCGATGCACCACATCTTTGCATTCCTTGCATCGCCAATAGGGCGAACCGGCTACAATTGGCTGCTCACAACTCACGCACGTGGCTGCGTCCACTTTAGATTCCTGCAAAGCCAATTCAAATCGGTGATGTGCCACATCGTCTGCGATCTGCTTTTGCGGCGATTTCAATTTGTTTTTAGCATCCGCTTGGCTAGCTGAGCGCTTCACTGTGGTCGGCGGTTTACGTGGAGATCGTGGTACTGCGGCGATGCTAGCGGGTCGCAGCTTGGGCTCGTCTCTGTCGCCATTAACAGCGCTGGACTTCCGTGGCGAGCGCAGAGTTGCAGTTCCTGATAGATAAATGTGTATTAGTATGTGAGTGCGTTATAATAAACACTTGTTCCTGTATTACTCACCATTTAACTGATCCAATTGTTCCTGCAGCATCTTGGATAGCTTTTGTTCTCGGCGCAGTTCTTCTTTTAGAGCACGATATAGTATAGATGATTCCACATCGTTGGGCGATATGTTCTCCTTAGTATTGCTGTTGGATCCAAAGATTTTGTCGGCCAGAGTTTTCTTTTTCTTGGCCGACAAATCCTCGACTTTAAGCTGAAAGTAATATGTCTTGGTTGCCAAACAAACACAATAAAATTATACAAATATATATTACCTGTAAATAGTCGATAAGTTTCTTGTGCTGAGCCAGCGTTGCCATAGCTTTGATATCCCGCTGCACGTAAAACTGTTCTTTTTCCGTGAGCGCATTCTGCAGTTCATCAATCTCTGTGTGGAGTCCCGTCTGAACGGCTTGCAGGTTCTTTACTTCGGCATGCAAATGTAGAACCTCCTCCTTACTGTGGAACAGCTCACTCAGTATGCGAGCATTTTCCTCCTTCAGACTGAGCAGCTCTCGCTCGTAGTCTGCGTTCTGCGCTTGGCAGCTGGCGCTCTGCACATCTAACTGATCCGCACGCTCTTGGGCGCCAAACAGCGCGTTCGTCTGCTCGACCAGCTGACTCTGCTGTGTGATTAGTTTCATCTGCAACTGCTTAAGATTCTCCTTTAGCTCCTCCAATTCGACTGAAAGAATTTTCGCATGTTGCTCGGCTTGACGCTTGCCGGACTCCTGCACA